GTTCAAAAATTGTCGCCCTATGACACACCGTTTCACCTGGTTGAAGGTTACAGACATGAGCTTTAGTAGTATATAGATTATTGCGATGGAGGTTTTGTTTGCAAGGTTGCCCACAGACCCCAATAGTTGCTTCTCGTTCATGTACCAAATCAGGATCCTGTTTTCAGGAGTCGACACCCTCCTTGTAACAGAACGTGGCTTGCCTCAAGGCCCCAAAAACTCTGGCTTTCCTTTGGAGAAACCACAAGACTGGGTGGCCCATCACTCAAAGCCACCGTACAGTTGGTTGGTTTGGGGGCGTAATGTAATGTAGCATGCTAACTCTACCCTTGTGGGTTGGCATGCCTTGCAAACCGGGCCACGATGGCTTGTTCATCAGATCATGGTTTAAAAGATCCTGGCTTGGCATTGCAGGGCGATGTAGCTGTAGGGATTGAGGCACGGGGTGTGATTCCTCTGACTCATTTTTTCCCCTCTACAATTTCGTGTCTCTTTTTCTTCTTTTCCATCAAACGATTAAGGGCCTGGGATGCTGCATCCTTCTCCCCCGGATGGATCCGGATCACCCTCCAGCACGGACGGCATTGCTGAGCTGAGCCGGGCAGGGCCCAATTCACTCTAAAGCCTCTCCCCCCCCCCGCTTTTCTCCTGCCCAGATCCAAGGAGAGAAACAGCTGCGCCTCACTCCCAAAGCGGTGGAGTACAGGGGGGTCTTTGGCACCATGGCCACGATGGTGAGGAACGAGGGGCCCAAGAGCCTCTACAGCGGCCTGGTGGCCGGCCTCCAGCGCCAGATGAGCTTCGCCTCGGTCCGCATCGGGCTCTACGACTCGGTGAAGCACTTCTACACCAAAGGTTCAGAGCGTAAGTTGGCATCTTTTCTGGCTCCATGTGGGGTGCCAAGGAAGCCTGCTGGGCAGAGGCTGGCGGGGCAGCCGTCCCTCCCAGGTCCAGGTTTGTAGCCTGGCTCTGAATATTTAGTGTGGAGAGGAAAAACATATTTTTGCTTGTTTGTTTATATATAAAATTTGTCACCGCCCATCTCGTTGAAACGACTCCGGACGTTTACAAAACAGTTAAAATCAGTTAAAATTACAAAATTACAATCTACTATTAATAAATAGAAAATAAATCGATCCAAGAATAATTGGCAGTCACTCAGGGAGCGTCCTCAAGGCGCCAGCCACCCCCAGGATTGGGTAAGATTGTTGTCACCCCACGCAAGCTGGCAGAGCCAGGTCTTCCATCCTTTCCGGAAGGCCGGGAGGGCAGGGCCCGCTGCACCTCTGGGGGGAGAATGTTCCAAAGGTGGGGGCGACGGCAGAGAAGGCCCTCCTCCGGGGCCCCGCCAGCCGACATTCCCTTGCTGACGGGGTCCGCAACATGCCTCTCTGCCTGACCGGGTGCGACGGGTTGATGCGATGGGGGTGAGACGGTCCTCAGGTAACCCGGTCCCATGCCACGGAGGGCTTTAAAGGTGATAACCAACACCTTGAATTGGACCTGGAAGCAGACTGGCACCCAATGCAGCTTGCACAGGAAGGGTGTTACATGTGCCGTTCTTGGGGCATGAGTGACTGCCCGTGTGGCTGCATTTTGAGCCAGCTGTAGCTTCCAGATGCTCTTCAAAGGAACCCCCATGTAGAGCGCATTGCAATAGTCTACCTGAGAGATGACCAGGGCATGAGCGACTGACCCGAGCGCCTCTGCTCTCTGCACATGCCCATGGGCACCAGGACCAAATGCAGATCACAGCATGAAGGATTTCAGCTTCCAGTTGCTCTCCGAAGAGAGGGTTGGAGACCGTCTTCTGCAGGCCATGCTCTTTTCCGGGGGCATCCACAGGAGTGGTCAAGAAAGTCAAGATGGCAGCCACGGCCATGGATACCCAGCTTCTTTTTTACATACAACTGATGTAAAAATGGAATCGGGCTTCGATTGTGCAGTGGTGGCCGCCATCTTGACTTTTTTGACCCCCACCGTAGGGGATTGTGTCTCTTCCTTTTCTGTTTTTCCAGCCTCTGGAACCCCGCAGCCTTGAGCTCCTGTGATCAGCAGCTTAAACCGACAATTTAGCTCATCTGTTTTACTTGGGGGGGCGGGTAGGACCCTACCTGAATAGCTAAGCAAACCTCTTCTATTTCTAAAAAGTATAAACACTGCACTTCCTCTCCCCCACCTCAAAAAATGCCTTTGATATTCCCAAGGCTGGGATTTTAGAGGTATCCGTAGGGCAGGTATCTAAATAGCTGCTCACCTAGGGCGAGTAAGAGTGAACCTGGGGGTGACCACCAAGCCAGCTTTTGGGAAGTGGAACGAAGCCAGATTTTCTGCTTGCTTTATTGATGCCCCTCAGAAGACTTGGGTAGTGAGATGTCGGCTATTCACATTTGGGGAGGGGGTTATTTGCTTAAGGACCCCCCAGTCTTTTAGTTGCCAGAGCAATAGGGCTCTTTCTGGAAGAAGCTGAATGGTGCCTACGTGCTTGTTTTGAACCAAACGGCACTCTCTCTCTCCGACTTCGGCAGATGCTGGCGTGGGCAGCCGGATTCTCGCTGGTTGCACCACGGGAGCGATGGCGGTGATGGTGGCCCAGCCCACGGATGTGGTCAAAGTGAGGTTCCAGGCCCAGGTCCGAACGGAAGCTGGCAGGCGGTACCAGGGGACCTTGGATGCGTACAAGACCATTGCCAAGGAGGAGGGGCTCAGGGGCCTGTGGAAAGGTGGGTGAAGGGCAAAGACCAGGGCGTGCCCCAGCCTTGCCCCAGGGACCCACGCCCTCTGGTCTCAGCAGTCTGGGTTTGGGGGCCAAATCACAACTGCAGAACTGCCTGTCTCCCCTCCTCTCTGCCCACCCTGCGAGATCTGCTGGGGTCGTTTGGGCGAGACCCGGGAGACGTGCCTTCTCTGCTGCTGCCCACGTCCTTCAGAGCAGGATCCCCAAGATCCGCCTGATCCCGACCCAGCCTGCCTTTCGGAAGGCTTTAAAGACCTGGCTGTTTGCTCTGGGAGGGATAGGACCCATTGGGTGAATTGCCCCTGCATTTTCTGTGTCAATATGTCTCTGTTTTGGTTTATATTTTCAATGTCTTTTTATGAAATGGTTCGATTGCCTTATTACTATTGTGTAATGAAGTACGCGGCCCTAAGTCACGTGCTGAGCGGGGGCCCTATATAAATAGATTGAATAAACAGAAATAATAAAGGGTTTGGGGAAAGTGGAGCTGAATTTTATTGTCACTGCTGTCCATTGAAAGGTCTTATGTGGCCAGACTGATCTGAGATTATGATCCTAAATTATTGCCAGCTGCGCCCCCCAACTTCCCCCAATTGCGATTGAACCATGGCCCCGACCAGCAGAGGTAGAGGCATCTTTGCTGAGTTTATAGGGGGAGGGAGGATGCTGAAGTGGGCAAGGCTGAAGGGTCTCCCCATCAAGGACACAATTATTTTTTTTCCTGTAACACAAATTTTTAAAGACTTCTTTACCTTTAGAGTGTATTTGCCTTAAAATGGTAGAAAACCACCCAGCTGATTTTTGCCAGAGTAGCTTTCAGGGGTAAAATAATTGTGGGGCCTCTTGCTATCCTGTTCTGCAGTTTTCTAACATATGGTGGCCTGGGGAGGCCCTTTTAGTTCAGGCGCAGTTCTGGATTTTCGGAACTCGCTTTTTGTGCATTTTCCTCTGCTTTTAACATCTTAAAGAAGAACAAGAAAATTAAATGGAAGCTTGTTAGAATACTGGATCCTTACATGGGATGCAACAAGGGGGCATTCACACATGTTGCTTGGCCTGGATGCTATGAAACTCTTTTCTGGGTTTGCAGAGTGGATGGCGTAATAAATTATTCCAGAGCTGTTTGTACAAATTAACAGAATGCCTATCCAGGGTTAACATTAACCAAGCTTAGCTGGTTTTGGAATGCAACCAGGGTTTTAACTGAAGCATGTTGCGTGAACATGGTGAGTGGGTGACTGGTCCCACATAAGCAAGTGCCGATGCACCAGATGTGGGGGGACAAGTATGCGGTGGTGATGTTTGGGCGATAATGTCACAGCCAATTTTGGTATCGTTGGAGTTTGCTACGGACGTTGCTGTGCCGCATTTGACCTGTGAGTCGTTCTTGCCTTGCGCATCCTTTTCTGAACCCGGGTCCGTGGGCACTGATTAAACACTCTGTGCACGGCTTTTGAATCATTGCAAGGATGCTGGGTTCCTCTTTTCTTAGTGTCCTGTTTTTTCCCATGTGATTAGGGACATTACCCAATGTATCCCGAAACGCCATCGTGAATTGCGCTGAACTGGTGACCTACGATCTCATCAAGGATACCCTTCTGAAATACCATCTCATGACAGGTGAGAAAGATAGACTGCACTGAGCTGGTGCAATCCTGCTCTTTTTGTGGGAAATGCAGTAGGAAGGGGTATGTAGGGGCACACACCCTTATTTTGTGGACCGAGGATCAGATCTTCCTTGAAGAGCCATGCCCAGAGCTGCTTTCACCATCAAAGCAGACTAGGACAAAGAAGTTAATCAAAGTAAGTTTGATTAGGTCAATGCAGTTATTGTGATTATGGCCCATATATTTTCAGGTAGTTCTCACTTAATGACCATTCATTTAGTGACCGAAGTTACAACGGCCCTAAACTAGTTTATGACCGATACTCACACTTACAACTGTCACAGTGCCCCCCACAGTCACATGATTGCAATCCAGGCAGCTTGCACTTATGATGGTTGCAGTGTCCCGGGGTCACGCGGTCATCATTTGTGACCTTCCCAGCCAGCTTCCAGCAAGCAAAATCAATGGGGAACTCTGTGATTCACTTAACGACCATGTGATTTGCTTAAATGATCATCACAAAAATGTTGTAAAATCGGGTGTGGTCACATGATGCCTCCCTTAATGGCCGCCCCACTTAACAATGAATTTTCTGGTCCCTATTGTGGTCGTTAAGCAAGGACTACCTGTAATATTGATTAATTATGCACCTTCAAGTCGGTGTTGACTCTTAGTGACCCCTGGTTGACCAGTATATTTAATAATGGCCCCCTTTATTAGGAATTACAATTTGTCAACAATTTGGCAGTCTGGAGAAGATGTGGTGGGTGCGACAAGGGCAGCTGTGAGCTTCCAGGTTGTGGATCCTTCCTTTCTGTAACAACCCACAAACCCCACCCTTTGCATTCCCGCGGGGTCATCCCAACCTGTCTGGAGCTACCCTTTTGGGGGACGCTTAGTCAAGCAAGAGGCCTCCTGCTCCCATTTGAAGCTGGGGATCCACTGGACTTGGGGTCGTGCAAATCTAGATTTCAAGGTTCAGGAGAGGGAGGCGTTGCTGGTGCCAGAATATCAACCGGGGGCATTTTGACTGCATTTTCTATCAAAGCCATGCTCCGTATGCGCCCAACCTCCTTGCGTCGTCTCCTTTTTTCTTAATATAATTTTATTAAAGATTTTTAAAAAAGATAAAAACTAATACAAACTAACATAAAGGGGGAGAGAAAAAAGAAGAAAAATCAAAGTGAAAGCTAAAAGTGCAAGAAAGGGGGGTGGGGATGAAAGAAAAATAGAAAAGAAAGGAAAAAAGACACAAAGCGGTAACTTCCAATCTGCTTTACAACAGTTATAAGTACAGTTATAAATTTACCTTTTACTCTATGGTAACAACATAACTCTTTTTTCCATAATCTATTCTGTCTAATAAGCAAACCATAAATCCTAAGTTCATTCTTCGTTGTGTTTCGTGCAAAAAAGTCTATCGGGGATCTCCAGCCAGCCATACATATAGATGCCGTCTTCTCTCTGATCAGGGAAGTCGATTTAGCCATCTCTGGAAGTCCCACCATCTTCACCGACCCTCCCCGCATTTCCACCTTGGTGCACATAGTCATCTCGCTGCAGTGATCGTGTACAAAACCAAGTTCCGTGACTTTTTTCCACCTTGCTTCTCCTCCTGCAGATAACATCCCCTGCCATTTTCTGTCCGCCTTTGGGGCTGGCTTCTGCACCACCGTGATCGCCTCCCCGGTCGATGTCGTGAAAACCAGGTACATGAATTCTGCCCCCGGCCAGTACGGAAGCGCCCTGCGGTGCGCCCTGAGGATGCTTCGCGCGGAGGGACCCCTGGCCTTCTACAAAGGGTAAAGCAGGCGTCTTCTTGGGGGGGGGTGCGAAGTTACAGGGGTCCAAGACCAAGCATTCAGCTGCAGACAGGTTGACAATGGGGGGCAATTAAATCGATTAATTTGGGGGGAGGCCCCCCACGCTTTTTTCCTTTTGTTTCCGGAATGTTTGTTCTTGCGGGGGGGGGGGAAGCTGCCCCCAGTCAGCTGTGCTGCTCTGCATTCCCTTCTTAACTTGGGGCAATTTTTTTGCAGGTGTGTTGCTCTAGGTTCTTTGTGATCATTTTTAAGCAAAAAATGGGTAAGGAGCGTTTTAGAGAAATAATAAACAACCGCGTTTAGCCAGCAAACGGATCTTGACCCTGGAGGTGCTCTGTTCTCTTCCTTTTACAGAACTTTTCCCGCGGACGTCTCCTGTTTTGCTAAATTGATCTTCCTTTTTTTAGCTCGGATTTCATTAACCGAGTTCCCTCCAAGCATGTTGCACGCTGAACCCTAAAAACGAGTTAACTCAGGAAGCTGGTTAAGCGTGTTGTGTGAGATCTTATTGCTAATTTGGGGCCCAAAGTTGTGCATTCAGAACAGGGGTGGGGACCCACGTTTTAGGATGACTTGCAAGCTTAGCTGCGCAGAATCCTCTGCAGTGTGGAAAATTGGTCCTACTTTGCTATGCCCATAAATAGTCCTTCTGGCTTCCTTTCATGCAGAATCTTGAGCAAATATTTTTTGCCCCTTTTCTCCCTCCCTCCCTCCCTCTTAGCTTTACGCCCTCGTTTCTTCGCCTGGGTTCCTGGAACGTGGTGATGTTTGTGACCTACGAACAGCTGAAGCGTGCCCTGATGGCAGCCCGTGGATCATGGGAGACCCCGTCGTGAGCCAACTGGCCAGGCGCAGCTTAGCTCTTGCCCACGTGCCCACGTCCTAGAAATCGATTCCCCCGCCCTCCCAATCTGAGCATTTCTGCATCTCCATCGATTTCCGTTTTAAAACGTTTGAATTGCTTTATGCTTACTTGTCATAACCTGACTGTAGCTGCTGATTCAGGACCTGTGGGGACTCCTGCTGGCTGTCTTTTTTAAAGTGATTAGTTCTGCCTGGGTGACTGTCCAACCTCGCCTTTCAAGACTGCTGTTTGGAAGGGGACACTTTTATTAAAACGCTGGACGACCTAGGTTGGCCGGCTTGGACTTGCTGAACGTTGCCTGAAGGCTCCCGTTTAGTTCTGTGTCATGCACGCCTTGCACGCCCCTTAAACTCAAATGGATGGATTTTGTTCCACTTCAGTGCTTGACTTGAAACTGTCCAAGAGGCTTCGGTTGGCCAGTTCAGTAGAAACCCCCTTTGGAACTCAGGTTAGAAGAAATCAACTTTTCCAAGCCTGCTAGTCTCCCGGAGGTATTACAACTGCAGTCTTCCCCCGTTTGTTGAAATTTGGGGGGTGGCTGCAGTCCAAATGTATTTGGACCCTCCCTTCTCCCTGTAGGTCCTTTAGAACTCCCACTCGCATTACGAAGCCTAATTCAGAGCATGGGCCACAAAGGAGCTGGGCGGCGCTCCGTCTCCCATCCCGTTCCTCCATCCTTTCCTCTTTGAACCAAGGGTTCCCATTCTCACCTGCTTTCTCCTGCAAAGCTGCTGGAAGGATCTCGCTTACCGGCCTTTTGTTCAGCTGCAAGCTTGGAAAAACGGCACGTAAGGCTGCTTCTGCATGTCAGCCTCCTGTGAAATTACTTGTGATGTTGCAATGGGATTTTTTTAAAAAGAATTATGCACTGCGCATGTCCCTCTTTTTTTAAAATAAAGCTGAAGAAAAATCAACCCGTTTTTGTTTTCCACCGTATTCTCCTATAGCTGAAACCAACCTGTGTGTGTGTGTGGTGGGCACAATTTAGTTCCCTGATACCCCTCCTTCCACTGTTGCATCTGTAGAGTAAGAGATGGTTTCTGGGCACTTGCACGGCGCAGCTGCAACCGGTTGGTAAACAGCTTAGCTAGTGAAGTAGCAGCCATCCACAAAACGCAGGTTGCTCTGGTTGTACCAGGAATAGCCATCTTTGCTACTATCCCAGCGCCTTTAGCAGAGATTGGCTGGCTGGTGTTGGAGGCTGTAAAAGCCATTTTGGTGTTGGAGGCTGTAAAAGAAGAAGAAAATCTCTGGTGGCCTGCATAGGCTTGGAGCCCCATAGATATGTTGGGGGAAGACTTATCCAGGATCTGTTTTGCATCTCTGGTGCACATGCAGGCCCTCTAGACCTTTGCAAACTTGTAAAAAGGGGGGGGTTTTACCCCCAAAATACCAACCCCACCACCCCCGGCGTGGGGTAGAGTGTTGTGTGAGGCTTCTTCACCT